AATTGAACACAGAGGAACTGCAGTTGTTGCTGGAACAAGATGCTGAAGATGCCAAGCAAGAGCTTTCATCTGCAGATGAAGATGAAGCCCATCCCAATGGCTGACATCAAGAAATTCCAACAAGAATGGGAAAATTGTCAAGAGTTTATGAACACTCATATCCTCAGCAGGCTGAAGTGAACAAATTTTGTGAACTTTTGAATGAGCATGGTGTACAACACTTCAGCACAGATGCTGACAAAGAAACAAAGGCAGAGTACCATAGACAGTTTCTTCAACTTGTCCTCTCCAAAGAAACAAAAAATGGGATGTGGTATGGATCAGCAGTTGGAAATCATCTCATCTGATTCTGAAGACAAGCAAATAGCTGAAGAAAAATTGAAATGACTTGTGAAAAAGTGTTACAGTTTGCAATTTTTTTACAGAAGGGTGAAGAAAGCTTGTGAAAAGAACTCAAAAATTTGTAATTTATTCCCTGCACTCCTGCACATTATTTTCACCATAAAGTAACCCCTTGGCATGAAACACATTAGTTAGTGTTAATTGCCTGCAGATTATTCCATGTTGTATACTCATTTGGGTCCAAAAAATGTCTTTCAAGAACGGATTAATTTGTTCATAATGGGACCCTATGGAGCACAGAGATTCGCTGTGAGGCTGGTTCACTGTACAGCCATGCCCCAGGAACGGATTGTGGCTGTAGTGAGGGGGCCCACTGTACGCAGAAATAATAAATGACTAATCGCAGCCATTCAATGAAACAATGAGAAAAATTCCCGACTAAAAAATGTCGCATTAGATACGATCTTGGCGTATTTGGGAAAAACCATTCGTCGCTGTTTTCCCAAGAATATATTTTTGCGTTCGTGCAACGCATTTAGAATAAGTCATCATATTCAATTCAAAAAAAATTTTCAAGTTTTCGAATGTTCTCTAGTTCTTTTTGCCTATAGATCGAGACACGTTCGTTAGTTGAAGTTTGCAACACTGCATTTGACCAAGATTTTGTTTTCCTCTCACAAATACTGTACAGTAATTCATCACTTATCTCTATCCTAAAGGGGGATAGGGATATATTTCAAAAAGTGTACTTTATTATGCCTTGTGCATGGATGCGTCGAAAAATACTTTAGTAAGAGATAAATTAACGATTTCAAAAGCATTCCACGGAGCTAATGTTGAAATCTCCATCAGGGATAAAAAATATAAAAAAAGATTTCTCATTCAAACCGAAACACCCTGGAGCACCTTGAATATGGTGGCTCTAGGCCTGTGATGAATTGACGACAGTGAAAGATTGCCGTTGAGATTTCCACATCATTAGATGATGGTGGAGTATATTCAAGAGCCTGGACTATCCTCGACTTCTTTATACGTGGGTGGAATAAACTTTTAGTTACCACCTATATATGTCTCCCGTGGGCTCTACGCCTGCATTAAACACGTACTTGTAACAGGGAAACAGTCTCGCAGGTGTACAGTCTTGTAATTTTTTTCATAAACTTCAATCGGAACATATTCAATCGCTTCTCATTCTTGTTAAAAAAAAAGAGCCCCAAAATTGAGACAATTTTTTTTCGCAACCTCAAAATACAGAAAATAACTGCAGAAGAGAGCATATTTTTTGACATGCAAAGGAGCCTAAAACAAAAACAAAGAACAAACACAAACCTTGATACACGCTTTACAAATGATGGGGAAAATCGGAAAAAAATGAGCACAAAATTAGCCTGTTTGGGATTATGACTTCGATTCTTGGAGGAAATTTAGAATGAAATTTATTTTCATTTTTTGTGAATTAAAGAGACATAACGATTTTGAAAAATTAAAATCTTTCAATATTTTTAGAACTTTTGGAAGCGTGTGATGCATCTCGAGACAGTTTTGGATGTCAACGGAGATTTCTGGAGTTTCTGAAGTGTCCATAATTTGAATCATCTGTACGTTGGGGCGTCCATATGAGCCCCAGGGTAAAACATGTCATAAAAATATAAATAACAAAAATCAAATACGCCAAGAACGTAAATTCTCGACGTATTTAGGTGTTTTAATGCTTCCAAGACATCATATGTCTTGCTAAAAAACTAGGTTGTTTTCTTTAAAACCTTGATTTAAGGTTCTTTTCGTGTCATTTTTAGCGCATGTTGTCCTGTGAATGCGCATCATACGTTTTTTGATCATATGCTGCTTCAACATTACAGGTGGAATCTCTCGAAAACAAGATTCAAGGGACAAAAAATTGTTTTCAGAGAAAATTTGGCTGCAGAGAATCCCTACACCAATAAGGCAAGAGAACCCCATGCAGGAACCAGAAAGAAAATTCGCTAGGTATAGAAGATGAAGACAGTTATGCACAAAGTCCCCCTAATGTAATCAAAAACTGATCCCATTTCCCACCCCACCATGGAACTTTTAATTTTTTGGTTTTTCTGCTGGAACACACCCTTCTTCCATGCTATGCACTCCAAAAATATCTTTCAAATGTCTATTTATGCTCAGTGAAATCTTTTTGGAGGACCAAGCCTGCGATGCTGTTGAGCCACCCTCAACTACGTCGGCTCAATGACCTTGGCTATACTTCATGCAGCCGGTGAATTTTTGGCTGTAAACACTCCAACTTTGCAGTCGATTCTTGAACTCACCCTGACGCTGTTGAGCTAACGTAAACAACGTCGGCTCAATGACCTTGGCTATGTGAATGTTACAGTTAATACAGTACACTCAGATTCAGATTACAAAGAAATGCAGGGGACATATACAAAAAATCCTTGTGGAGAACCCCGTATATGACAGAAACCTGTGCTACACTACTAAATAATTTAAAACTTTGTTCACGAATCTGAATTAATTGCATAATGCGGGTGTGTCCATTTTTTAACTGCATGTATCCATCATAACTCCACCTGCCGGCGAGTGAGGCAACCTGTTCTTCAGGATATAATATACTGCTGTACTTAGATGTACAGTATTGTACAATGCCGCGCAGCCAACAAGCTATTTGGACCATTAATAAACGGGAACACCTGCACCTATACTGTATTTATACATACGTACTGTATACTGTATATACGGCTCCGCAAGAGAATTCGTCCTCAACGAATTGGGCCTCGTCTCAATGTACTATACGGAGGGACGAGGCCCACTGTATATACTGTACGAAAGGAGGGATGGAAGCATATATTGTATGTAGCATCGCAGACACCTATATTGCCTGGGGACAGTCATTAGATATTCCTGTGCCGCCCGAACAGGGATGCCCTCAAGGCCTTCTCGCAGGATGCAGTGACGCAATGTCTGAAAAGAAGCGGCGACGATCGGTCACGAACCGCAGCGTCATGATCATCTCACGAGCTGACGATGAATGCGTTGCTTTTGAAATCCGCTAGACGTCCCGAAAGTCGGTTCATGGTCGACGCGGAGCGAGAATAAACATAGACGGAAGATTTCCGATTAGTTATATCTTCCTTTGAATTTCTGAGAAAAATTTCTTCTGAAAAAAAAATCAGATTGGAGGGATTTGGGGTTTAGATTTTTGAGAATGAAATTTTCGAACGTCTACATGTATTTATTTGTGATGATTTCACATTTCAGTGAAATTTCATCTGGGATATGAGAGTAATTTTTGCGCTCCTAAACCTTGAAAATTTATTTCAGCCATAAGGTATGTTTCTATATAGCTCAAGAACTCGAACAGGTGAACTCTGCCTGCAACAAAATTCAAGGGATCAGAAAAAAAATTGTTGCTGCAAAGAAAATTTTGTTGTAGAGAACCCAATGGGACCAAGAACTAATTCTCGTTACGGAAAAAACCACAGTGGAGAGTCCACGATACACTCGTTCACAAAGAAACTTAAAAAATATACATAGCTGCACATTTTAGCAACCACCGCTTAGCTTACTTCAGCAGAAAGGAATGGCTACGTAGTTTTGATGACACCTGGCGAAATACCAAATGAGGAAATTATGTACACAGCATCCAAAATTCTTGAGCATTATTCATACGAGACTCAGGATTATCTTTGGTCGATTTGAAATAATTTTCTGATGAAAACGTTGGCTCAAAAGACTTGTCATCCGGTACTCCCGTGTTATCGCATTGAGAGTCCTGTCAAAATAGTTGTCCAATATGGCATATTTTATATATTCTAGTTTTAAAGAGAATATCCAACCATGGTGACGAACTGACGATGAGATAAATCCTGGATCCAAATATGAGAACATCTCACAATACAGGTAGACTCAAAATTTTTTTTTTTCTTCAGTGCCATTTCTCTTCACATTTTATGTAAGGGTTTTCTACAATTGTTTTCCTGGTCCTTGAATTTAATTGTAGGAAGACTTGTCCACCTGTGAGTAAATTTTTTCAACAAACTTCATTCACAACAGTACTTCAGTGAATATTACGCAATCGCCAAGAAAATGGCAAAAAATCATTGGAATCACAACAAACCATTTCCACTTCATCAGAACATGAATAAATGAAGCTATCAGAAGGCATTACGAGCAGTGTAATCCAGCTACGTGCGCTGAACACTCAAGAACAAAATATGCCATGACACTTTCAAGACATCGGACTATACTAGACCCCACACATAATCCAACACAGCAACACATACACCTTGATAAAAAAAACATCAACGAAAATATACTGAAAAGATCGCTTTATTATTTCTCTTGTCCGATTCCCTCATTCAACGAAACCGAACTTCATGCTTCCTTCTCCGCTCGAAATGTCCGAAAAACTGTATTTCACTGGTCATCACCTGCTCGGTCAATCCTGAATGTTCCGACGACGACTGAGCGCATAAAGTAATGGGAAGATGGCAAATGAAAATAATTCGTCATGGATTATCAAAAAAGGGGAGCATTCAAATTCTGCAGCTTGACTCTCCACAATAAAGCTAATTTGAGAGTCGCAAAGCCAGCGACTGGCTGTCGCATTTTCAAAGCAAGTTCACATGAGAGCTCATGAATGGCTACAACAATTAGTTCAGACTGTTGCTTCACGAGCAATACCACATTTATGCGAAAAAATGACACGTCTGACTCCATAAGACACACCATAATTGATGTCACCTTCAACGTTACGTAGAATCTGGAATATTCCGGATGAATTGAAACTTCCTAATACAGTATGCCAGGAGCTTTATTGCGCGAAATAGGAACTCTAAAATACCAATTTAGAAATCAAAATGTCTCTTCAGACGCAATACAATGAAGTGACATGCCGGAAAAATGCTCTTTCATTTGTATTTCTAGAAAAATGAACCTTGCAAGGAATACTGCAAAAACCAAATAACATAGAAAATCGCAGGTAAACAGTTACCATATACTTTTTGATTCCGCACTCGACATTCTCTCAACTGCATTTATTCCGGATCATGCTTCAGACTTTCTCGACAGATGGGAAGAGATATGAAGAGGACATAAAAGCATTAGGTGAATGAATGTACATTATAGACTCCCAAGAACCAGCATTTCGTATTCAATTCAAAGACGCAACGCTTCTCTGACACGTCCCGATTTTATCGTGTGTAAAATTAGTCAGGTGTCGAAAATTCGCATAGATCAGTAGTTCGAACGAATTCAAGCTATTTGAAACTCTCAACTGAAATAGCTGTCAATGGGCTTTATCCGATGTTGGTTACTCCGCGTTGAAGGAAGATCTATTGGAGGACTTCAAAGCCACACTTGTTCCAGGTAGGGGGAAATGGCACGCGAGACATCGTTCCGAAACAGCGTCGGGGTTTTTCCTCAATTTTTCCAAAATTTCCCGCGAGAGAAATAGATTGCTGAAACACCACGAACAGAACTTCCAAAGAAACGCGTTCAGCAAGGACGGTGTAACGGGGCTAGGGAGAAAAACACGTGAATCCCGACACACAAAAAAAACCCACACCGAAACGTTCTGTCCGTCATTTCGGTGTTAATATCTCGGGAGAAAGAAGGAAACCGATCCGAATACGTACGTATACCACAGAAACGCTGGGAATGGAAAAAATTATCACAGCTCATAATATTTCTCTCCTTAAGCACTTCCGGAAATTTCGGTCACCGCGTTGATCGAAAGCAATGATCGTCAACAAAATATTCAAAACACAATCAATAAATTCAAATGATTCGGAACATCAGTGCCGCATATGCCATCCCACGCTGCTCTAAAAAATGCATTGACGTAATCATAAACATGCGACAATAATCTAGAACAGTAAATAAAAAAAAAAACTAGTTAGAAATCATCAAAGGATAGCCTCTCTGCGAAACGAAAAAAAAAGTGTCCTGCTTAAAATTCTGTCAGTCACAAAGCTCATGAATCGTCGACGAACATTTTGCAGAAAACTGCTCATTCAGTCACGGGAACCGATACCAGGGAAAAGCAAGGTAAAGCGAAAAGCGGGGAATCCCAGAAAGAAATCTCATAATACTATCCTCGACCCGTTAACTTTATAATCGTGCCCAGGACTTGTTGAGCTCGACAGGAAAAAATTCACTATCAAGGAAATTGTTGAGCTCGACAGGAAAAAATTCACTATCAAGGAAATTTTCATTCAAACGGATTTTACGGTTTCTGATCTCCGCCATCCCATACTTCAGGACTTATTTGAAATCAGTCTCAAGGACGCATCGGTGATTATCCGGTCATCTTTTTTTGATCACGGACTCGGTAAAAGCATGCATCAGACACAATCACAAAAGAAGTACTGGACTGGTTTCTTTGCGTTCAATTTGCACGCTCATCTCTTCAATGGTTGAAACCATGCACACAATTGCTGTGCACAGATGGAGAAATTTACTCCGGATTTCTCGGCGAATGATAACTGGATTAGATTCGTGTCCAATTTTAATCGAAATCTTCGGCGCGGATCATTCAATCCATTGCTTCAGAGAAAAAAAAAACACCGAAATTGAGACCATTGTATGTAAGTAAGAAAAGGAGCATTTCGCAAGCAATAAAGAAATGAGTTCTCACACGAAGTAAAAATAAAAAATATTTTCATGCAGGTTTCGGATAATTGAAAAATACGAACTGTTACGGCCTTCCTAATGAAAATGGGCGGTCATTTCGGTTAACGAAGGAAATACAGTAGCTGGATAAACACAATTTGAGCCTTTCACGAACCAGGAGATTAAAGCTAGTACAAAAGGTTTTCTTCTTTGGAGGAGGGGGTATGAAAAAGGAAATGGTAACCTCAAAAAAAAAAATCATCACACGCTACATGTGAAGTGAAACGCAAGAGAATATCTGGGAGCCCCGCTTTCAGAGATCTTGCCTTTCTAAAACATCCGCTTACCGTCGCGCCGACCCTCCGCGCGAAAGCGACGCCGTCTCGTCAGCGTATCCGTTAGAATCCAGACCACTGGCGACGGGAACACCCGAATGGTTCGAAGACATGGAAGAAACGTCAGACGACGACGATGTCGGCGGAAGAGGATTCGAACTTTGCGACACTGACACGGAAGGTCCTGCATTCTGGGACGGGGCCTGGTGAAGACGGCTGTTAGGTGGCGGCACGGGAACCTCAGAGTAGTGCTTCGCCTCGTACTCCATCACTTCGGCATAGATGAGCTGTTTCCACTCTTCAACGAGGTGTTCTCGCTCGTCCACTGAATGATCATACACATGTGGGGCAGGCTGTAGACATGGACCAGGCTGCTCTCGTTAAAAGATTCCGAGTTAAGACAAATCTGGTGCTTCGTATTTCCTGTAACTCACAGCTTTGACTTCGCTCTCGTCATACCACACGTAGATGTAGGGGTGCAAGAGCGCCTCACCCACAGATATCCTCTTCTGGGGGTCTATCACCAACATCTTCGACAGCAAATCTCTTGCTTGTGATGCTACACGAAATAATCAATAAGGTTACGAACGAGATAATTCACGATTCATAGTTCGAAAAATACGTCCATAGCTCTCGTATCTACCCCGGAGATTAAATTGAGAGTAGCGTTCTTCACTGCTTCAATTCTCTAAAAGTTATTTCACTGCACTTCGCGAAGTCCACTCGAAGAATTCAATTCAAGAGATCATTGAACACCTGAGCATGCCGTGTTCCTGCGAACTGTCAAGAGATTTACATGCAAAAACGGAGTTTTCTTCAAATGAAATACAATTTTCTGAATTGCTATCTTCGGCACATTTACTATGGGATTCACTATGTTTTTTGGAATCATCCTCCGAATAGAATTGAAAGGACACAGTCGAACATTTTTGTGAATTTCAGCAAACCTCCAAAGAGATCTCAAATTCGTGAAAATCAATTTCAAAGCACTATATCCGTGAAATGTAAACAATTATGTAATTTTCAGAGTGATGCAACCATATGTTGAATATAATTTAAAAAAAAAGACAGTACGTGTGCATATTAAAATTAGTGCATGCCGGTTTCTTGAAGTGAAGGACACAGCGCAGTGTGGCACTGAATAATAATTGTACAGGCGACTGGGTTCAGTACAATTCCAACACCCCTTGCTTTTGGCAAAAATTCCAGTTGATTTAGCAGTTTCCAGTTTAAATCGAGACTGACAAGAATCACCTTTCAGTTTCGTATGGTCGGTTGAATCCGAGGGAAAGAGACAGTCCGGAAAAAGCTTGTCAAATGGGTAACCGGCGTATCTCGGCTGATTTTCCACATAATTGCGCACCGTTGGTTGCAGACGACGCATGAATTCACTTGTAGGTGTACCTAATTGCTCTGAAAGAAGCATGCGACAATAAGAGGTAACTATCTCGTTCAACCGGAGTTGGACTAATTAAGACATACCGATTATTTTCTTCCACTGGTCAATGTGATCTGAACCAGGAAACAACACGGCACCACGGATCATTTCCCCCATTATACAGCCAACCGACCAAATATCTACATTATCCGTGTATCCCATTCCCAGGATCACCTGCAATAACAAGAAACGACATCAAACATGGTTTATGAGAAAGATTTCAACCCAAGTTGATTTATAAAATTATAGTACTGTAATTTTCGCTCATAAGGAACAATTCTGTAAAAAAATGACTCAAACCTCAGGTGCTCGGTAGTATCTCGTCACAACGTAAGGAGTCATCATAAACGTTGTTCCTGCAGTCCGTGCTAAACCGAAGTCAAGAATTTTCAAGGTACAGTCCGACTTCACCACAATATTGCTCGGCTTCAAATCCTGTGCAAAAAATTTCAGATCAACATCTAAAACCTCTCTAGAAAATAATTCCATTCATGAACATGACAGCTATATTTTCACAATTCCGCATGAAGAAACATTTTTTTTTTCAGGAGGAAGTAAAGTGGACCAGTCAAAAAACGAGTACAGCATTATTTTCGACCGAGAGTGAATGTTAAAATACTCACCCGATGAATTATACCAGCAGAATGAAGATGCTTTATCCCACAAAGCATTTGATACAGGAGGTAGGACATTCTTTCGTGATCCAGGTCCATCTGGATAACCTGACATAAGTTCGCGTCCATAAGCTCCATCACAAGATAGACGTCCTGAAAATCTTCCAGAGTTCTCTGCGGCGTGAAGGCATTCAGCAGACCTATGATCTGTGGGTAGATCATACGAAGCTCGAATATATCTTCTCACGAACAATATGAATGAGGGTTTCATCACGTGCGCAAAATCATTAAAAAATCAGAAAAATTGACTCTTTCGAAGTCCAAGTCTTCCGCGATGCGAGCGTATCATTGGACATTCGAGAAAACTCACATTCTTGTGATTGACGAGCTTCATGAGCTTGAATTCTCTATATGAGCGTTTGGCGTGGGTAACATTCTGAAATGGTCGGCTCAACTTCTTTATAGCAACCATAGGTCCATCCTCTCCATCACGGGCAGCACTAAAATCAGGAGACGAACGCACATAGCGCATCTCGTATCCATTGAGGACCTCCTTAAATAACGCTAAAAAAAAACTCACCAAACGATTCCTTGAGCGCCAGAACCTATCGGCTTGAGATTTTGATACCGCTTGAGGATTGTAAACTTTGTGTCCCCCACTTCAACCGTGTAGAAGTGCGAAGGGGACTTCGCGGCATTCGCGGCCATGGATACAGGTGTATAGGATGGATTCCGCAAACTATAAGTCTTCCGAGCGACGCCTACGCTAGCGAACTTCGCTTTGCTAGGACTTGACGAGGAATGGAACTTCTGCTCCTGAGTGGAAGCAAAAGAACTACGCCGAGTTGTGGCCGGAAGGGAATTGTGAGGATTCTGAGCTTGTCTGCGCGGTGTAGGGTGGCCACCCTCCGACCCGCCTGCAGACGTCTTGGAAGGCTTCGAGCCCGTTAGGGATGTATTCGGGAACAGCCGGAACAGGGGACTCCTCGCGCCTTTTCTTGCGACTCCGCGCACCACGCAACTACCGGTTCGCGTCGCATCAACGGCATCAGGTGTACCTCGAAAAGTTTAAGCTTCCTCAAAACCATAAAATCACATTCGAAATCACATCATTGATTACAATCATGGCGAGGAAGCCCTCAAGCAATGAACCTAAAACAGAAAAGCTTTAGTTAACAATCGCAATTTTCGTAGTGGAAGGGCAATCCAAACCTCCGAGAATGGCACGAAAAATATAACATAACAACTAATGAACAATAAATTCTCTAACTCTTCAAATGCGACTCAATTGCTGGACGGAGAGGAACAAAACCCATTCAAAATGAGTTAGGGAATACCAGATACAATAGCATTTTTCGAACATTTCATTGGGCCGTCTTGTTCACAACGAGAAGCAGCATTCATCTTGAGTGAAAATTTCCACAGAATTTCGTAAAACGCAAAATCCGCAACTCTTCCACGACACACACAAGTGTTCCAATTACGAACTGCCACTATGAATTCACTAGTGAACTCGATCCCACCAATGAAGACGATGCGGTTATTGCACACACAATGAGGTAGTTTTTTCAAAACATTCGAAATCCATTAATGTAACACTGAAATCTCCACCACGCCATGATGTTCAGATGCATCTAAAATCTCCCAACAACCTGTGGGGAACCGTATTTGGCTAGGGAGCGCATTAGTTTGGTGCAAGTTGGTAAGGTATCCGGCTGCTGAACCTATCCGTAAGAACAAGTTCTGTTTGAAACCCTCATTCTGTTATACGCAGTACTAGTTTACGGTACAATACCTGATGCACAATACCGGGCATCATAAAAATTCGATCAACCTAGTTTGCTCCACCATAACCCTATTTTCCATCACATAAGCAAAAATTTGAATAAAATTATCATAATGGTGACCACTATGAAAATTTCCCAATTAATGAATGAATACGATTTTAGGCAAGCACAGTAGAGTACTGTACTGTATAAGCACAGTACAGTATATGGTGTTCACCACGTGCATGCTGAGTGCCGATTATATGTCGCAGGCTACAACTCATGTAAAAGCCGAAGAATTTTTCTCATTCGTAACTATATTATCAATATAACATTGTACCTTGTGTTTATTAAAAGAGTTTAATAATTTTATTTCTCTTGTGATACCTGGTTAGCGAACCCTCCGGAAATTTCTGACAGTTTTAGCTTTTCGAACATTTATCACGTGCGATAATGGTTCACGCACTTGCTCCCGTTGTATCCATAAAAAATGGATGACAATCAATTCTCTATACTGCCGATGAAAGCGTTATTGAAGATTGTCACGCTAAGAAATTTTCATCGAAACCTTCGTTTGATTTAATGAATTTCCTTCCATTAAGAAACACTCGCAATCGCACGTTCGCTGAGAAAACTCGTTATTCCCATGCACTGGGAGAATCGTTCACCGATCCACGGTTACGATATCTGGGCGGATAGGCTAGGGTTTACCTCGGTCAACGCATTTACGGTACAACGCCTTTATGTTGATGTCGCTCCCTACATCAACTTAGTGTGTCGCTTCAGCGTACAATTGAACTCGATCGTGATGCTGTGTCGCATTCCGTTTTTCAGGAAAATAAACATAACCAAATGTATTTTCAATCGGATCAGAGGGAAAATTTTGACAAAACCATTCCAATTGAATGCGTAAAAATGAACCAATTCTGTTTGAAAAAATCTATCATCGATGAACAGTGGAAATCAGCAAGCTCGAATTAACTCTCCATCATCGTCATCCGATAAAAAGTTTTCCTTGCGTTTCTTCAGATGCCATCCCTCAGATGGATTGCAAATGCGGACAATATTAATTGCACAAATGTCCAAGCGGTAGGACCAATAAATCCCATCAAAACCTGTGCATCTGATAACCCGTGACCTCGTGACATCACCCTGCGCAACGCTTCCATCCCGAAACTCTGCGGAAGCAATTCGCTGAAACCTCTCAGAACCGGCGACATGCCTTCTTTCGGCCAGCACATGCCTGAAAAACGAAAGGATTCCGAAATTGTCTCACGATGCAAAAATAAGTTTTCTCTCGGAGTTTTGTGTGTCGTCGAGAATGTTACAATAATCAACTCAGGAGCGTTCGATGAGAACCGCAATTCTTGAGGAGCGCGTATACCATCAGCAGATTGTGAACTTCGTTGAAAGTTCGCTGATTCTCCAGGAGCGGCTGGTTCGACATCAGCAAGTCACAAAATCTCAGGTCGGTTTTGCATTTATTCTAGCATTTCTATATCGATCATTCGATTATATACACTTACTACACTCATATAACAGATGCATTTGGCGGCAACAGCATCTGCTGCGCATCATATATATGGGTCATAATTTATAAAACAGCACGGAAATCGTATCGATTTCCCGCTCAAAGCACTGTCATAGCATGCATACAGTATATTTGTTCGATTTACCAGTGAGAAGCAAAGATGGCATCGTTATTCCTGAGCAAATGACGATTGCAGACGTCTCTTCCGTAACCAGACATGACACCAGCAAACCTAACACAAACAGGACGAGCATTTCATATGACAAAAACCGAAGTATTTAGAATTCAAAAATCCTACCGAAGGACATTCCACATATTCCCTGGAGGAAGCAGAGTAAGGCGATGATCACGAGCGAACCATGGTTCGGTAATTTAAACACTGCCAACATCATTGTCAAGGTCAATACGATCTGAACCACAGCCACGCAAGCTTGTTTGATCATGTAGCATATCAAGATCTCGCAATTTTTCGCTCCTGCGAAAAAAAAAAATGAAGCAAAATTGAAAGGATTTTTTCCTTGCGGAATCCTTCAGATTCAGATCTGTTACATTTGGCTCACCCACCTGCCACATAACTCCGATGAATCTGTCCTTGACGTCGTTCGACGACGAACATGATGGCTGTCCATCCCATGGCGATCGTGAAAATCACCCTGAAATTGATCATATGAAAATTGTATTGAAAGTTGTAAGCAAAAAAATCGCTTGCGCGTTAATTAACGTACATTATTTGAATTCCTGGTGCAATGAACTCGGTGCTTTTGGAGTCCTTCGTACCGACAATCGGGTCTCCGAACTACATATGAATAGTGAAACGAATTTTCTGAATTTGTTGCACAACTATAACCTGAGTTGTGATACAGTAGTAAATTACAAAAATAAGCCTTTTAGCTTCAAAAAATTGAAAATATTACCTCGATTGGAAGAGCTCCAATCACAGAGCTGCTGATTCCCATTCGATCCGCCACTTTTTGAAAGAACTCCGTCAGCGAAAAAACCAGCGACTGTGTGATCATGAGCACCATCTGTTGATCTGTTCAGATGAAATTATTTATTCAATTTTGGCTGTAACGTGAAATAACTTGAGCGTGCTATGAGAGTCCAAAAATGTGCAATATTTACTTGTCATATCGAGCCGAACGTGAATCGAACTCTCGTCTAACGTTTTGTTATTGCTCCCATGATTGCCGAAGAAAGGTCCAAGAGCTCTGTTCGCCAAAGAAGTCGAAAAGTTTTTCTTCACATGGATGACTCCCCATGCTTCTCCATTCATAACTGCATCGTATGCTTCAGCCAGCGACGACTTATAAACCTGGAATATATATTTTAAATACTGTACAGTATTTTGAAACCATGAACAACAGGCGAAAATATTGTACAAGAATGAGGCGCACCAATATACGAATTATAGGGCTTGCTCGATAATTTTTGACAACTGTACTGTATATGATTTCTTTGTTGGACGGATCGTGAGAAAGGACGGTCTTTTCCACATATCGTGAATATTTGACGCTTAAATTCTTGTTCATCAATGGTAAAATGGGTGCAGTTCTCGTGTAAAATAGAAAATGAGCGTGCAAATATATCCTGCATGTATATACGAGGGTTGGTTCATAAAAGTTGATAAACATACGAGGATTATCCCACTTCCGATTGACCTTGGGTATTTCCAGACTAGGTACCCCTTAGAAAAAAATTTGCAATTCAAACCATCCTATGCTAAGGTTCTGGGATTTTTTCCAAATGTTGTTGAGAATTTTTTGATTTACTGCAATGCAATAAGTGAAAACTTTCCAGTTTTGGCAGGGGGTTTCCATCCACGTCACAAGCTGTTGAAAATGTTTAATTCCCGGCAACAAATTTGATTTTTTATTGTTTTTAGAACAATATTTCCTACATTTAGTGTAGTTTTCAAAAATTTGCAATAATTATTTTGTTTGCCACAATAAATGAAAACCTATGTTCATTTTTCATTTTTCAAAAGCAATTTTTCATTTCCAATTTTATTTCTCTTCAAAAAATTCAGCCAAAGCCTGCATGGTTTCTGCTTGTGATATGCTTCTTACTGTCATGCGATTTTATGAGACTTCTGTTTATTTTTTCATTTCCTGCCTTAAGGTCTGAAGGCAGGATAACCGGACACTAGTCTACTGTAAGCAGTTTTAGATGCTGTTTGTGTTTTGTTGCTGGAGTTTTCTCCCCATTGCACAAGGTGGGACTCAATGTCACAAATATGAAAAGCTTGTTTGAAAGAGATGCCATGAAATGCTCTGATCTTGAGTTTTTTACACAGTCAGAAGGGCTGAAGAAGTGGATATTGCAAAAAAATTATAAAAGACGATCCTATGTCACGAATCTGACAACTTTGTTTTAATGAGGCTTTATAAAATAATAGTTTCTGAGATTTTTTGCGCAATTGAATGGGCTAAAGAAAAGAAATTCGAAAAAATTACGAAAAAGAGACTCAACGTCAAGAATCTGTCAACTTTGTTGTAATGTGAGGTATACGATGAAATGCTCTGATCTTGAGATTTTTTTGCAGTTACTGTATATGTACCTTAGACTAAAACTGTACCTTCTTCGAAGAATATAATCATTTCTTATAAGATCAAGAAAATATATACAAACGAAACTTTGGAACCCCCTATACTAACCGGTTGCAGAGTTTTTGAGCGTATGGAGTCGATCAGTTCACAAGAAAACGCATTTTCACGACAAAATGCTTGAGTTGGAGATGTGATATTCACTGCCTCTTCGTTGAACACTGTTAAAACCAGGTTCTGAGCTCCGGATCTCAGTGTGAGGAAGAACAAGATGATTTGGAGAGGTGGCAGCAAAATTTCAAACGTCAACGCTCTGAAAACAAAGCAGAAAAGATCTTACATCATAATACTGTACTCGAAAGTTTTTTTTGTGTGTGACAATCTCTCGTTCTTACCCTCTGTGTCTCAGCATTAAAATGAAATTTTTGAACAACAAAGCTTGCATGGTGGTTTTGCTGGGAATCCATTCACTCCCGCGTTTCTTTTCTGTCAGCGACTTTGGAACAGGCTGTAAAATTTATGAAAAAAATATTTGGATACCTTTAGGAAATAAAATATACGCATTGAGAAACAGTCTTACAGAAAACTTCTCTGTTGGTTCAGTTTCTTGAACTGCGATGTGCTGATCGTCTCCTAACTGAAATGCTGGGTTTTCAAACGTCGCCTTGGCTGGAATTTCGGTTGATTTCTCCGTCACCGGAACCACAGACGAAATAGGGTGCTTTTCCGAAATGTCTTCCAATTTCATAGGCTTAGATTTCGAAAGAAAATAAATGATACGTTTCAAGACATCGTATTGTGATCCGATTGGGGGAATGAAAAAAAAAAAACACATACTGAAGCAGTTGTTCCATTCGGAGTGCCGTAATCAAAGGAATATTCATTGCTGAAGATCACAGGAGTTCTCTCCAATTTGTCTGCTTGTTGACACAGGAGCAGAAAAACCTTTTCCAATGTCAGTGCTTCATGAGCAGCTAACAATGACTCCGGAGATGCTTGAGCCAACAATCTTCCATTTCTCATCAACCCAACCTGAAAAAATTAATACACATTGTACGTTAAAATACCAACTTCAATCTCATTTTTGCCAGCATCACATTCGTTAGCATGACGATGATAACCCGTGTAGCAGGACCACGAAAAAAGACGTAGAACATGACTACGCAAACCAAAGGCTGCAAAATGAAGGCGACATCTACTCACAGAAGTCATAAATTCAATGAAAGGTACAAGCGGACAGATGGCCTTCGAAACACACCAAGTGTTATTTTCTGAAGAAAAATACCGTCTCGCTCGATTTTTCGGACAATATAAATTTCCAACCTGGATTATACTAACCCGGTTAGCTTGTCGAGCTTCTTCAATGTAATGAGTCGTCATAAGAACAGAGGTGTCGTCCGTTTTCGTCAGTTCGTTCAAATGCTCCCAAATGCTTCATATAAAAAATGGACAATGTTATGTTCTCCAAATTCACAGACACTCGATATTTGCATACCTGTGACGTAGAACAGGATCAACCCCGACAGTCGGTTCATCTAGAATCAAAAGTGGTGGTTTGTGCAAGAGTGCACAAGCCAAAGATACTCTTCTTCGTTCTCCGCCGCTATTTGTAACGATAAATTCAGGTTTAAAAAAATCAGAAATCCAGTGTCTTTGGTTGGTGTTATCGAAAGCTGATGATTTACCTTAAACTTTCAATCATCCTGTCGGCGTTCGGCAAGTCAAAGAAGGCAACGAGGAACTCCGAACGTTGCTTCACAGCACTTGCTGTCATTCCGTAAATTTTTCCGAAGTAATAAATGGCTTCTTTGATGTGAAATTGCGGGTACAAAGCTATGTCCTATAAAAAAATAATACGCACATGGAAGAGAGAAATCTGTTTAAAGTGAGTGCTATATTACCGTATGCATTCAGTAATAAACATTAGTTTAAAACAAATTATATGAATAATTAACGTTTCGTGTTTGAGTTACTTCGGGGAAAATCGCCGAAAGCACCCTCATTATTTATTTTATACGCTCTCAAAAGTGTCCTCTGAAATACTGAAAATTAATGTTAACAAAAGAAGGTCTGATTATTGTAACCATTTCTTTTTAAAGAATTCGTTTCTTCAATATTTTCCATTTGAAAATTACAACCTTAGGCGTAAAGACGAAACATAAATCATAACAAAATTGTATTTTCAAATGAGAGGGAGTATTGCTCTGACATTGTCCAAGCAAAGGGGTTGATAAAAAGGCTTGATAAATATTTTAAGTGACTGGAAGCTAATGTAATTGATGCGTATTTTTCCACTGCTTCCGCATGAAAAAGTCTTTTACTTATCACTTTAGAAGCTAACAGTTTATTGAATCAGCAATGCACACGAAAAGGCAATTAAACGTGCATAGAAATTTGCAAAAATGACATAAAATGACTCAATATTGATTTTCGCCCTGAAATTTTCTTAAAGGAACACAAGTTTTACTATATTACTGAATGAACGGCATTCACTGCCTCTCCGTATAATCTGAAAATTGTATTGATTTTATATGAAAATGCAGTTGAACCTCTTTAAGTTGAGCTTCAAGGGACCACAACAAAATTCGGATTATCATGGGAGGTTTCGAGTGAGGGAAAGAAGCATTCTTGTTGGTTGGTCGAGAAAGAAAAAATGATAGGACATTTTAATTGGTGATATTAGTGGCCTTAAATTGCTTTTTAAATGAGTTGACAGGATGCTGAACTTGAAGGCAAGAGTTCATTTTCCTAATGATTTGTACACTTCCTTTCAAAACACATCAAATTACATTTTTATTGCATTTTTCTTTCCTGAGTCACTAAAATAACCAAAAGGCCTCCAGAAAAGTGAAGTTATGGAAGCTTTAAGGGGGGAAAGCCTCACATGTATGTTGGGAGGTTTCTATTGGATTTTATTCAAGGGAATTCAGACAGGGACTTAAAAAAAAAAAAAGCCACATAATATGGAGGTTCAAAATGTTAAGAGTGAACTGTATTGATGTATTCACGGTTTTGAAGTAGGGATGGAATAAAATTCGGAAGCAGTAAATGACCATGCTTGGCTTTTTTGAATGTGACGTTTTTGACGCTGGTATATGGGGTACGGTTGGCATGCTCTAGATTTTCGCAGTCGTATATACACTGGTATATATTAGGCAATAAGTGACCACATAAAGTGCGTTAATCATTCAAATTTGCCTTTCATCATAATTGCTTCATAAAAGACAACGGAAAAAAACAAATACCTGAGGCATATAACCCACGAGACTTCCGGGAACTTCGGAATTTTTCTCGCCTGGTTTTTGTCCGAAAACACGAACAGATCCGGCATCAGGTCGCAGACATCCAACAATGCAACTCAGCAACGTTGTTTTCCCGCAACCACTCGGTCCCAGCAAGGCATAACTGCAATCAGAGAGAACCTGATTTGTTTCTCTCTTATACAGCAAATCAACAAAATGAACGCGGAACTGTGAGGAATCCTCATGGTGATGATTTTTGAAAAATGTTACGCACATGGATTTCCGCTCGACGCGCATATCGAGTCCTTTCAAGACATGCGATTTCGTCTTGCGGCGACCGAAACTTTTCACCAAGTCGTGACAATCTACCGCTGCTGGTTCTTGTTGGGAATTTACACTGATTTTGGAACCTTGTGGCTGATCACTGCTCATGATGATTGTTTCGCAACTTGCAGTCGTGTGAAGACTCCTCTTGTCTTCAACTGCAGCAGTTTCTCCTGGTTCTGAAGGACTTATATCGGCGTCGACGACGATACTCGTCGCATCATCGTCACAGCAATCTACTCTCACTGCTGTGGATTGATTTTCCTCATCGGTAGAGGATGTCATCTGATTTGCAGAGGCGAAGCAATATAAATTGTTAAATCAACTAAATATGTACGGAGCAGGTCAAATTCTGCGAAGGGAAAATCCGGGACAAGATACGAGCTGAGTTTTCGATACAACGAAGGATTTGTCTTTCCTATTCTTCGCCCGCCGTTGATGATTGAAAAACGAGAAAAAGTATAGCATTCGTGTCTGATACCTGTACTTGATCAGCATCAATCAAACGAATTTTCTTTCATTATATAGTCAAAGAGAAAATTATTGGTGAAGTGTTGGTTTACGCAGCATTTTTTTTTTATTATTCATGGAATTCGGGCGAAGAAAGTAAAAATGCACCAAAATCATGGGGCGGGGATTACGCGGTTCTTGCTCTCCAATTGTCTGACAATGAAGCCCATTCATTTTCAGATCAAATGCTGATGCGTTAATATAATTTACATTAACATCTTAGAACATAAATGGGACATAAAATTCATTCATGTCCCTCGATTCTATTTGAAAGTTGAAGGCTGCTAAACTTGATGACTTTCTTCACACGAAAGTGAATGAATTTTAACCCTGGCTCGAAAAAAATCACGAGCATTTATTTTTAGAAAAGGGTATTTAAAAAGCAATACATTCATGCGAATTATTACGGTATATACAGCATTTCAAAATTACATGATGACCTTTGTTTCAGGAATGTTGTACAGATATTGTCTGAATCCCTGATTCAGTCAAATAGCAGAACGGAATCTTTCTAACCTATGGTCAGTATTTTCATAGCTAAAATACCGTAGTTCGGCCAGATTTACCCCGAAAAGTACGCTTAAAATAGCAGATTCAATCTGCTGATTCCGAAAAATGCCAAAGATACATGCACTTAATTATAAACGGCATTTCAAAGAATAAGTGAAAGTTCTTGATGCTTACTTCGATTTTTCAGATAAGAAACGAAATACTGTATCTTGCAGTCCAGAAATACAAAACTGTTCAAGGAATTAAGCTTTCTTCGGTTTGAATAAGCTATACTGATGATTGCTTATCATCCGTGTGCAAAAAACACTGCAGCTGCTTAAATAGAGGTCTGAGACTAAATCAAATGACAATCGAATTTGGATCTAAGCCACATTTTTCCTTTCAAAAATTTCCAAAATATCTGCAATCGTCGCATTTATAGTATTTTGCTCTTTGACACGGTGCCTGCAGAATTTTTGTGCGTCACTCACACAGTATGTGAGACTAGTGAGAGTCCGATAATTCTTGATAGAATTTACATGACGGTTATTACATCGCAAATGAATTTCACGGAGTATAAAGATAGCATCAAGTACTGTATATCAAAAAGGAACAACAACAGCTGCTGCTTTTTCATTGCTTCTCATGTATGAGTACAGTACTGTACTGGTAATGAGACCATCCAGTTCATGCTCAAAACAACGCACATGCCAAAAAGTGAATTTTGAGTTTAAATAATGTCCACATTTTCGGTCACAGAAATGCACAATATATAATCATCAGCTGCTGAACTCTCATCTGTACAACAAAATCCAAGGGGGCAGCAAAACATGCGTCGTAATAATGTTAAGAACCCAGCCTATATATAACATAATAGAAGATAACCCTATACTATCATGGCCTATGAGACCAGGAAAAAAAATATTATTCACGGAAAATCGTTGTAGACAAGATCATTGTAGGGAGTCCACTTGCTGTATACAGCAGTACATCCTCCCGGATACCAATTGGTGAATTGCAGCCCGCATTAAACATCACCGAAATATACAGAACACTCCATCACACAGGGGACACTGCAGTTTGCTCAAACTGTGTCACATATAAAACCACCCGATTCTAATTTATCCTTGGGATAGTTCGTCACATGCGTAATATTTTTTCTTCTCGCATTGAAACCTGGAGGTCGTTCACAGCCGCCCGAACGACGTGTGCTGAGCCGAGCACCCGTAATCCGGCTCTGTCCTTCCGCGAGCCAGTGAAATACCTCGAGGGGGGGTAAATCGCCTCTCGCCAAAATGTGGGTCACTCCCTCTACAGGTCTCATCTGCCTTTCAGAAAAACAAGGAAAGAAGGAAAGAAACACGACAATCCCGCGTACCCAACGAAGAAGAAGAAGAAAGCGGAGAAAAATTATTGAAGATTGAAGGGCAATGCGGCGGAAGGCTAGTGTTTTCACTTCAGTTCTTTCACCCAGCCGCTGAGAACCATGCTGTCGTTACGTGCCAATCAAGTGAACCCGGAATATGAGGGTATGGGCATCATGTTAGTTCAATGGCGGCCCAAGGCAATGGGTTGGAAATTCTCCCCGATAAGAAGTTCTTGACCGTTTTCACTCGTGGGGCCCTTTTTTGGATGCGAATTTGATGAGAACCCCCACATGATATATAGAGCATTGTTCGTATTACTCTATCTGTACACGTATATCTGCTGCTAAACCCTCAAGTGCAGTTTAAAAGTCCTTATTGTTATATTTGATCATGCATGCATCAGAAGGGTTATTACAATTTAATTGCGTTCAGCATTTGTTTTTATTTCTCCCTACTTTTTTTTTTTTTAATCATATGCAGTGCGTAGGTTCCCATGTAACGAATGGCTCACGATGACAATTTCGAATAATTCCATAATTGACCGAAAGTGTGATGCAAAAATGCTTTTAAGCAGATGAAACAACTTCTAAGACGAAAAATGCATGAATTTCAGCAAGCTCTTGCTGCTTTGACATTTTGAAATTTTTGCCATGAGACAAGGCAAGCATCGTAAAAGTATAGGTCACGAAGAAAAACATGTAAACATTCAGACCCAAAAAAAAAAAAAACATTTCATGTTGGAAAATTGAATAATATGACCGTTTTGTTCCCTTCTCTTTGATTTATGTACCATGTTTGTGGAAACATTCAAGAATTGTATGTTTAAAATAATTTCCCTAAAGAAGAACGTCTGTGTTGCGGTTGTACGGATGCGTATAATATTTTTTTTATTCCAACTGGATGATCAAATTAATTTTGTTGTTGAAATGGAGCCAGAAGGGATATTACGCTCTAAGGACCTTGAATAAATTGTATAACAAAACTTATACAGGAACGGATTATTTTAACGTCATTTTGAGCAATATATCTAGAAATATATTCAGTCAATCTTACAATCATTCCCCTGAAACGAAGGTACTCTAATATATTACTTATAGAAATGAAAGATAACCGTCGGTTGAAAAAGCACATCATCGGTTTTTAATGCATTAAAAATCGAGAAAATGTTTCGTTTCGTATTTGTTCAATTTATTGAACGCAATTCGTATTCTTTTTTCACTCTTGCCTCATTATTCCCGATGTAAACTATGCGTAGCCTCAACTTAGCTGAAAGTTTTTATTCTGGCTTTCAACACTTTTCTGCTGGTCATGCGCTTATTGAACAGCAAAATAACAACAAATAAATAGGTTCATGTTTTTGTCATTGACAATGAAAAACGGTTATCGAATATCCTATTTTTTACAAGTTTTTAGGGAACAAAAGCGATATCAGTGGATCTTTATTGCACGAAGATAAACTCGGAGGAAATCTCCGACATGGTACTGCAATATTTTGCTGCAGTCCGAACGTGAAACAGATTTACTGCAGTACAGTAGTGGAGTACTGTACATATATTCAACAAATTGGGCATGCACTGACACCTAGTACGTTTCAATTAAGTAAAAAGCATGTCTATTTCGCTCCGCGGCGTGATGTCACTCGAAGCTCAGGAAGCTACAGCGATCTGCCTTCGAGTGACATCTAATCGATCCAAGTTTTCCATACTTCAATATTATGCAGTACAGCATTCCTCTGCGGACTGTAGATGAATGCTCCATAAGCTCACATCGCTTCGCAAAACGTATGGGAGTAAAATGCCTGAAGAATCACCACAGAGTGCACAAGAATAGCAGAATACTGTGTAAAGGTTGAAGCGAAGCCCCAGCAGTTGGCAAACTTTTGTTGGGCGATAGAATCCTTGAACATGTCATCTTTTCCGTACAGTTGACCTTTCTTTTCCGTGGAAGTAAGCGCAGTATCCTGGCAATAGCTGTTTGAAGTAGCATGGCAGCGTCCTCTTTCGCACTTTTCAGCAAGCCGTGTGAGACAATTGAAAAAAATAGGTGGCGTCTTGACACACCCTTTTATGCAACTGCGCTTGTTTGCGTAGAAACTCCAGGACAGAACTCGTAACGGCAATAGCAGGGCTTCGAGTGCAATCAGGCATCCAACGAATTGTACTGAAGTGAAAGAGAAATATATAGGACAACATTACCGATTTATCGGTAATCCAATGGGTGCTTTTATATTTGTGAGTTGTGACTTACACTACTGGGCAGGGTTGAGTGCAATCGTAGACTGAAAGCAGGTCATTCTCCTAGAAATTTGCAAAAGCAATCTCTATGCATACAATTGACCGGATCTTGAAGTCGTGGCCCCAAAATCCCCAGCATTATATTTTTTAATGCTTGCTGTTTTCTCTATTTGAACCCTTTTTATGAGTGAGATTTGGAAAGTGAGACCAGCAGCTGTTTGTTGATCATAATGTAGGGCTAAATTTATCAAGTACAGTAATTAGGAAATAGTCGGCGAAAGCTCGCATCGTTATGCTAAAATCAAATCTTATATGAAAAGAAGAGCAACTGTACCGTAAGAAAACACCAAACTTATCGAATAAATGTCGTTAATTGAGTAAAAATAAATAAACATTGCGAAAAAGGAAAACAATTAACTAACTCTTTTTAGTATACTTTCATAATGGAATTTTTCTTCATGTAAGATCCTTTTTAGTTCGTTCATGATAATATTCTTGAGTTAATAAAGATTTGCGTTAGTTAGAGTTGGCATATGGATGCTAATTGATCACGTTAAATTGCTATCAGCAGATTTTCCAAATTTCCTTGATGTTAGATAGGTTTAACCGGATTGATGCTTAAATTGCAAAAAATTAAATTGAACTGATATACAGTTCATGACTCGTTATACTTATAGTGACTCAGTAAAACCTGCTTGACATTTCAGGAAAATATGTATAAATTTAAGAATTATGCACGCGGTTTAAAATTATTGGTGGCTGATGACAGACAAGAACAGAATCCGTCTGCGTGTGCAAAAAATATTTTAAAAAGGTCTCAAGTAAAAGTTTTTAAAGAAGACGATCTCAAGCAAGAACAATAATACCATAACATGAAATAAATCTTAAACTATTTTGGCTGCTATATATACTCATACGAAGGATCTTCTAAAATCTCGAAATTTGAGCATTTTGGTCCATTTATTTTGACAGATGAGCTCTTTCGTTTGAGATCAATCGTCCACAGAAAAACGGGATTTTTTCGAAAGCTTGCCGGTCAATCCATCTTATTTAAATGGACCAACCATTTCCATTTACCTCATGAGGTTTTTTTTTTTTTGAATACGAGGGAAATATATCAAAAAGCTCTCACAGAATACACAAAAAAATGATTCTAATTTTCTTCAACATTTAGGACTGATAAATAACTCACAAATTCTAGGAGCGTCGCTTCCACCGATGTTCAGGGCATCCCTGTGGTAAGCCAATACGCCAAACATGACGCCAATATTGGCAATTGTCGCCAAAATGACACCCAAGACGGACTTCCCGTTCGGTTTGGCATAAGTGATCGTCAGCCCAGCAATCAGGCAAGCTTCCATGAAAAAATTGTTGCAAAATCAACTAAATAAAAGCAGGGTACCACATTTTTGTTCAGAGGATTACAAATCTAAAATTCTAAATTTACGCTAGAAACGTGGAAAACTGGCTCATTAGTTTTGCCTCGAAAGCACCTTGAGTTGAAAATATATTTAGTACGTTATTCAAGTTTTTTTTTATTATCCCCGGACGGATTTGCTTCGGAATAAAAACACAAAGACTCGAAAACTTTAAGATTTAAAATATTTAGTATTCAAGCTCCTGAGCTGTACCAGAGACCGAACACTACTTTGAGACGAATAAGAAGACTTAAAGCAAGTCTCTGTTAAATTGCTTTAGAATTTCTTGCATTTTAGTTCTGAGCTCGTTTTTGGGGACAAATAATTCTTCAGCAGAAATTGAAATTTTGCGGTGAGATTCACACGGAACATAGTGTACAGAGCACGAATTACAGAATCAGAACACTAACTCTAAAATTAGAAAATTGTTGCCTTTTCAGGAATATTTTATTTAAGAGGAGACCCACATTTTTTCAAATATACTGTACAGTTTCTAGTGGTATACTTCCAGCAATTTCACAGAAAATGCTGAAGTGACATGAAAACCATACGAGTTATCTCATCGTCATAGTGATGGGGATGACTTCGGATTTTGTTTTCTCTTGCTCTATCTTCCATCAGAAAGAACATTTGAAACAATGATAAAGAAATTATAGTATAAAATTTTCTTTATGAAAGAAGGTCATCTCCAGCATCCATTCAACAAGAGGAAAACACAGGACTGGCAACATTTTATGAAACAGCCTTCATACTTGAAGCCTGATTTCTCAGGAAAATTGAAGCGACGGAGCCTTATTATTTTTTTCATGCTGGGTTAATAATACCTATAACTCTCCTCGTAATAAAGGTATTAATGGAATTTCATCTCAAGGAATTGAAGTTGGTAATTGCGAGTTTTCTTGTTGGTTTGATTCGCTTTGTTACCGGCAATCGGAGCGTAAAGGGTGGACCAAAAGGCGTTTCCTCTTCTTCCCAACCGGAAAGTGAATTCGGTGTTTGGATAAACACCTTCCACGTCTGGAAAAACGAGGTCATTTTCCTTTGCCGACGATTCCAGCAACACCCAAGCAGACGATTCGACGAAAGCCATTTTGTTGATGGGCTGAATATTAAAAAAAATAAACAAGTGTCATGCATATACTCAAACACTGGCGAAAAAAAACACTAGTTTCGAAATGGTTGATGAATATATTTTTTTCATGTTTATCGAATAAGAATGAAGGGCTCACTTTTGCAGCGAGTTTAATATCAATCTCGGACTTGTCGTAAGTCCAAGAGCCGAGAACCAAAGAGCATTCATGCTCATCGACCGGGAAATTTGCCAGATTGAGTTTGCACGTTGATTTGAAGGCTACATTTGGGACCCAGAGAACTGTTCCATTGCTGTCGATCAGAACCAATTTTTCTTCCGCCTTTGTAGCAAATGTGAACGAGGGAAGCCTGCAGAATGAAAACGATGAAAATTTGAGCTTGCGAAATAATTGATAATCATTCTAAGAATATTCTGGATTATTATTCAAAATTGAACATTTATAAAGTATGCTGATAAATTAATCAGCGCCACGAATCTGATTTTCAACATTTACAGCGCATCTCCGAAAGAAATCCTCGGAAGTATTAACGTATAGTTCAAAATTTACTGATCGAAATTTATTTGTTTTTCTGGAATATTTGGTGCCGTATTTGAGTTCAAATTAAAGAATAAGAATGAGCTCAAAAAATCGAGTTTAGAGTTTATTTTCTTGAGGCAATGTATCATTTTCTTAAAAAAAAAACTTAAACCTAGAACAGTGCATTGAAAACACAACTCTTGATATTTTTATCAAGAAAAATATCCCTCACGTCAAAGTTGTTGTGAAAAAAGCAACAAAAAACTTCATAAGAATTCAAACCCAACAGACGTGTTTTTTTCTCTCTCGAAAGCTCACCTTATTTTTTGCATGAACACAGGTAGTGACATTTTTTCTGAATTTTCTGGATTTATTAAGGATTGACTATAATCCGATTTAATTCAGATCCCATTCCAAAAAAGGTAAAAATGTGTTCTTAAAATACTATGCACACCCACAACCAATTTTAGGTCGTATCTCCGCATTCCATTTATTATCAAGAAAATATAACTCAAACCTGAACAAAAGCTCGTATATAGCATTCCTAATTTTTCTCACACGAAAAACTTCATGAGCTTTATAAAATCCAGCTGTCTGCCGTTATATCCCCATAATAATTCATAATTCCATCTGAATCTGTCCGAAAAATCTGACTGAGAAAATTATGCACTGCTTCAGTTCCGTGATGCTGTGTGTGTTTTTTTCTTTCAATATTTAAAGAACAAAAATATATTTTGTGACGTCATATTACTCGTTTTGAAGGGATGCGTCGGGCACCCAGATTGAAGTTGGCGGAACACGAAGGATTTTGATTCCCGAGAAATCCTCAGGAGACCATTGCAAACGTTCATCAGTCCATTGCTGCAAGAAACAGAAAAATAATCGCTTCCGTATTTTTCCAATATTTCAAACTACGAAAATAAAATTGAAAACGGAGCAGCAAACATCTCATAATTGAACGCAATTTACCAGTGACAGGAACGCGTTCGCATGAAGCGCTGAATGCCATTCTTCCTGAAAAAAAAAATCCAGGAAATCAGTGCACTGCTCAGTCGTAAAAAATAAAATAATTGAGACAATAATAAAAATTATACTCGTACAATTCGTAGAGTGGTTATGTACATCCCGATTTCCAACGGAACTGCGGTCGAAGGACTTCCTGGTCGCGCATCAGCGTCGTAACCATTCAGCAAAGCTGCCTTCAACTTTGTGTAAGTATCTTTTTTTATACGGAAAGAAAATTCTTTCGTTGATTAAAAAGAAATCCAAAGATTTAAAAAAATGTATATCGCTTACCATCTCCTCGTGTCCCTGCACAAAGTACCAATGCAAGAACCGCGAACGAAACGAACCGAGTCTTCATGGTACGTGTTTAAATCTTGACTGAACTTCACAATGTTCCGGCACCTTCTCAATAATTTATTTTCCCCCAGGAAAAGATTCAGATATTAAAAATAAATAAAAAGTTTACCAAACATTCAACCTTATGATAATTAAATTTAGCAGAGATTTGATGATGCGATTTTAAAATTATTGGTGGCTGATGACAGACAAGAACAGAATCCGTCTGCGTGTGCAAAAAATATTTTAAAAAGGTCTCAAGTAAAAGTTTTTAAAGAAGACGATCTCAAGCAAGAACAATAATACCATCACTTAAAATAAATCTTAAACTATTTTGGCTGCTACTCATACGAAGGATCTTCTAAAATCTCGAAATTTGAGCATTTTGGTCCATTTATTTTGACAGATGAGCTCTTTCGTTTGAGCTCAATCGTCCACAGAAAAACGGGATTTTTTGCGAAAGCTTGCCGGTCAATCCATCTTATTCAAATGGACCAACCATTTCCATTTACCTCATGAGGTTTTTTTTTTTTTTGAATACGAGGGAAATATATCAAATATCTCACAGAATACTCAAAAAAAGATTCAAATGTTCTTCAACATTTAGGACTGATAAATAACTCACAAATTCTAGGAGCGTCGCTTCCACCGATGTTCAGGGCATCCCTGTGGTAAGCCAAAACGCCAAACATGACGCCAATATTGGCAATTGTCGCCAAAATGACACCCAAGACGGACTTCCCGTTCGGTTTTGCATAAGTGATCGTCAGCCCAGCAATCAGGCAAGCTTCCATGAAAATTTTTTTGCAAAAATTCATTTGATAAGAGCAGGGTACCACATTTTTGTTCAGAGGTTAAAAATTTAAAATTCTTAATTTACGTTACAAACGTGAAAAACTGGCTCATTAGTTTTGCCACGACAGCACCTTGAGTTGAAAATATATTTAGTACGTTATTCAAGTGTTTTTTTATTATCCCCGGACGGATTTGCTTCGGAATAAAACCACAAAGACTCGAAAACTTTAAGATTTAAAATATTTAGTATTCAAGCTCCTGAGCTGTACCAGAGACCGAACACTACTTTGAGACGAATAAGAAGACTCTGTTAAAGCAAGTCTCTGTTAAATTGCTTTAGAATTTCTTGCATTTTAGTTCTGAGCTCGTTTTTGGGGACAAATAATTCTTCAGCAGAAATTGAAATTTTGCGGTGAGATTCACACGGAACATAGTGTTATGTTCCGGCACCTTCTCAATAATTTATTTTCCCCCAGGAAAAGATTCAGATATTAAAAATAAATAAAAAGTTTACCAAACATTCAACCTTATGATAATTAAATTTAGCAGAGATTTGATGATGCGATCTTTGAAAAAATTAACCCGAAACGTCGCCCTTCCACCCGTTTATGAGCGAGTCAGGCCCGTGAATGAACCCATTCGCACTCTGAAGCAGATCCCCCAGCATGGTTTATATGCATTCATGTCGAGAAAAATGAAACAAACTAACGTGTCTGCCTGTTTTTCCCTATTATTTATGCTCGTCTCACGCCATGCAAGTTTAATAAAAATAAAGTAGAAGACGAATCCAAAAGCCGACCATATATAAACACAACTCACAAAAATGCAGACTCACAGTCATGCTCATTCACTCGTTATCACGCATGGAGCGAGATATATAAAGAGTTGAAACCATCAAAACAGACAGTGCAAGTGTGTGATTGAATTTACTCAATGATGTTGAAGAGGAACTGCGTTGATGAACAAAAATATAAGAGATAATGCGACGCTTGAGAAAGAAAAAAAAAAAGCTACAGGTCTTTTTGACTGCTGGAAGATCCGATCCTTTGAAACTCGCTTTATTGTCGGTATGCGCCCGTGATGCTGCATTTTCTTGATTGAAACAAGATGAATGCATCAACAAAATATTGTAAACATAGTGCAAAACGATCAAAACAAATACGTGTGACGTGTATAGGATTCTTTCGGGTTCAATGATCGTTAAACAAAAATTTTCTCCATTCCAAAATTCACCTGAAATAACGCCGTTTTCGGAATTTTCAGATAATCAATCATCACAGTACTTGGAAAAAATGGAGAGGAGAAAAATTGTTGAAATGTTTAATCCAGACACTTGATCAAAACAATCAGCAAATAAGCCACGAAAGGCATGCGAAACTCTACAATATACACCAGGACACTCTAAAACGAACTTGACTACTATGATTTTCCGCATAAAACGATTTTTTTTGTGGTTCCATAGGGTTTGCTACCCATATTAAAGGGGTTCTCTGCAACGAAATTATCTACATGCAAAGATATTTTTTTTGCCGGTCCCTTGAATTTAATTGTTGAAGGAGCCCACCTTTACTCGTTTTTAAGCTAGAATAAGGAGCGCAATATTCGAGATTTAAAAGAAGTATTCGTGCAAAAACATGTGGTGAATGAAATTGGACAATAATTTCCAAACTAAACGTGTATTTCGAAATACGGAAACAGTAAATTCGCTTCAACAATAACGACAACAACATATTTTCCCATGCGGACAGAACAAATCGTAGTCAAGATTGAAGAGATTAGAGGTTTTCTAAGATAAACGCATTGTAATTCACAACCGACAAAATACTTCATCATTCGCTGCTCACAGCCAGTTAAAAATAAATTTTTTTGCGACTTTGAAAGAAATTTCAGTGATTCATGCGGTATATAGTACAGCATATTTGTATTGAAAAAGAGAAAAACGGAAAAAAAGTGTTCGCTTCGTGATTGGCACTCGTTGGGTTTCAATAAATATCTCTTCAATCAATCAATCATCTTCACCGGGATAATTACACGATTTTTTTTTTTTTTTTTACACAATACTCGTCTTTTGCTGGAATTGAAAGCTATTATTTTCGGTTTGTGTTCGCGAAGGACGTTCGAATGTTCGGCATCTGACTCGTCTTCAATTCGGCGAAATTCTTCGTTTCCTTCGGAAGCTCACGTTGCATTGAAGAGATTTCATTCAAGTTTTTCCTGCTTTTCTTCTCTCGACTGCGAAAAATATGTAGGTCTGTTATTAAGGATAATATAAAAATAAATAATGCTGAATTTATGAGTTCACTGCTTAAAAACGCGCGATGCAACGATGTGCGCGAAAAAACAACGGATTTTGAAGTATAAATTCTGAGCTGTTTGGGCCATCACTCTGAGAAGAAAAATGGGAAAAAAATTTGGAATGTAATCTTGAATGATTTAAAATTTTATGATATATGCAGTGCATCCATATAGGATCAACACGAGTAATTAAGTTGAATTTTAAGCGTTGTTAAGGTGAACTTGTCTCAGCTAAACGCGCCCTTCCGGTAACTTATCAAGAAGCAGTTCAACCATAGCTAACATTTTTCGTTCTTTTAACATATTTTTTGTGGTTGTCGAAGAACTTTTTTCAAAATTACCCGTTTTTTTTAAACGGGAAGGTGATGAAAATAGTTAACCCGGGCTGCATAATTAGTTTTTCTCCTCCATATATCAACTCTTTGGTGATTAAATTTGCATCCACAAAATCGTATGCAGTCAAAAATTCCCCATTCTTGATAATCAAAGAAAAACAATAAAGACTGCAAATTATTCAAACTTCAGAAACATTGTTATATTCATTCATTCGACCTTATTGAGGACTCACTTATTTCCTCTCTGTTTCTGAGTTGTTTTCTGCGCTCCTTGTTGATAAGGCTGTCCGCCATTCTTGCTGTTGAATTGCTTAAAATTTTCGTCCACGTAATCATCAATTGCAAAAATGGGCGAATCCGCTTCGGGATAATTAAATGCCGTGCTCTGATTTTCCGTCCCTTCGGCCACGGCGTCGGTGTCAGCAAAGCCGAAAAAAGACGAGAAAATACCGTCCGATCTTCTGGCCAAACCAAAAATTCCAGGGAAAGCTGAAAAAAAGAGAATCGATTGACTTTTATGCACCAAATTTATTTCGAGCCTCATGTCCCATTATCAAAGGTAGAAATGGCCCGAGAACATTAGATGATTCGCCGTCGCGTTCTTCACGAAGAATCAAATTTAAATACATGTATTTATAACCATTTAGGAGGAATGTTCTCGAGAACAAACGCACCTGGCTAAGATGGAATACTGTACAGTACTATCAAAAATAAAAAATAAAATATACCCGTTAAAAAGGAGGGGATGTCCAGAAATCCTGCAAAATCTACATATTACTCGGATTTATACGAAATAAATGAATGAAAAAATGTTGCATAGCATATAGGATGGCAGAATTATGAAAATATAAACTAGACCAAAACAGATTTTTATGCAAAATGAACGCGAGCTTTTTTTCATCTACGAAAGTCCCCATTTATCTGTAAGATGTTGCAATTCAGCTTCTCAAGAAATAAAACACACTTTGAGGCCGCCGGAATATTTTATAATCAATGGATCCGTTATTATTGTCACTACGGTATCTCTATTGCGAAGATATATTGACGAGAGATATTTATTCAAACACAACGAGTGCTATTCCCTGGGCAACCATTTTATATATGTGCTTATATTATATCACAAAAATGTATTTTAAAATTAGAATATGATTTGTTCAACTGGCCGTGAGCAGCTAATAATGATATATTTTGTCTATATCGTGAAATATAAAGTGAATTTATCATAGGAATCCTCAACTCTTGAAGTCTATACGTTCAATCCTGACGAAGAGTTGTTCTGTCGGCGGAATAAAATCTGTGGCTCTTGCAATGCTGAAGCAATTTTATTGTTATGCGGTATTTCGGAATACAACTTTATCTTGAAAAAGATGTTTGAATAATTCCAATTAAAAACGCACTTCTGCTCTCATTCTGGAAAGCAAACATGCGTAAGGCGTTTTTTTAGAAGTGCTGCGCTAGATCTGACGCCGCAAAACCATTCTAAAATCATTAAATATTTCGGTATCCATTAATTTCTGACTAACTTAACTATATGTCCGTTTGAAATAAAGCATTCGTTGTTTAGTATTTATATTAATCATCAGTCCCTTGACATATGTTAAAAAATGGTAGCAAATGAACAGAACTATGGCAGCATCAACGTCGATATTTTAAATGAAGATTTACTGTTACGATCAGGACCACCCTCACGATCAGAACCAGGTCAATTTTCTTAGCTTTCTCCGAAAACACGAATTATCAACCTCTTTCTGCCGGGAAAAAGAGTGCCTGTGCACACTTTTGCACAATGACAGAAAATAATAAAAAAAAAATTGCACGCTTGTTATTCTACGGTTAACCCGACAAAAGCTGACCAATTTTCCAACAGCTAGCCATGAAACCAGACGTTCAGAATATAATTCAAGATATCACGTTATTATATTGCTTCTAGGGATTTTTCTGCATCTAATCGTTTGGGAAAGCATTTCCGTTTATTTGCGAATACGAGTATATAAATACGCAAAACTGGGACACGGAAAGCTGCCTATATATAGCCGCCACGGGAATAAAATACGGGTTAGAATTGAATTGAATGACAAATTGTGAATTCATGTTATTTGAAATGTATATGCTTATTTCTGCACATTTTAAGCTTGAAACAAAAATTCAGAATCCCACTATATTTCAATGTGTCGATCCATTCAAGGAAATATGCGTAGTCTGCATCAAATGTAGGAGAAAAAGCTTTCAAAAAATTTTCAAATTTATTTATTCGTTTAGTTTTTCATATACTGTACTACTGTACTCATATATTTTACTCTTTGTAAACCTGTAAATATAAACGAACGAAAAATTAGATCTCACATTATGTCACATATATAATTCATACA